AATAAAGATATTAAATATGGTTTACTTTTAGCATAAAAGAGTTGACTATGAAGTTCTTTCTACATTATTCTGCTTTGAATTAATATAATTATATATAATTAATATATATAATATAATAATGCATAGTTTGCTAAAAAATAATATTAATAATAAAACACAGATATTAAATATGGTTTACTTTAGCATAAAAGAGCTGACTAGCCATCCATTCCACATTTTGGGATGAAGTGCATTGCCATAGAAATGAATAATGTCTGATTCCGAGGACATGAACAGCAAACAGTAATAGTCATCTCCTAATTACTGTAATTCTGCCATGACGTGACCACGAAATTACACTTAATGTACCGAGGTACTGGACAGTTTGATTGGCCACTGCTCCATTTGAGCGTGAGTTGCCTATTGTGAAGACTAACCTAAGACAGCATTCCTTTAAATGCATCTAATTGCCTTTTCTTGACCTGGCTAAGGATATCAGATAAGCTAGTGCAAGTATCAAGTGCGTGCGGTCTTGTTATATAATGCAGAACGACACCGGACACCGAGGAAATATGCCAAACGACTGGACTAAACAGATTTGTGCCACAAGAGCAAATGAGGACGTATTACAGAGGTTGTGGATGCATTAATGCTTCTTGGCCAACATGGCCTCAGGCTATATGGAATTCAAGTGAGTCTCCGCTGACTGAGTCAGGCGCTGCTGTTTGTCTTTATGGGCCGCTGTTTGGAGCAGAACTGCTTGTTTGTCATTTCCTCGGAGACACTGAGCTCTGTGGATATGAGGGCCAGATAGTTTGACTCCTGCTGGCACTCAGCACCCAACTTTGACATGTTGGCTGCGGTCGAGGTTGTGTGTAAACGAGCATGTGTATGTGTTGGCGGGCATACTGACTCTGTCTTTAAGTGTGTGTGTGTGTGTGTGTGTGTGTGTGAAAGACAGTTTGGCTGAATCTGACGCCATTCTGTGTGGCTGTTATCATGGAGGCTGTGGCGCTCATGCACAAACAGGAGTCTGTCAGAAGCGCTGCAAGCCAAGCTACGTCCTTAATCTCAGTAGCCCTTATTCCTCCATCCCTTCATATTAAATAAACAAACAAATGGACATATGTCAGCTGTAAACACGCCAATAACGGCGCGGAACGTGTTCTCCAGCAGCCGTGAAAGATGGGGCATTATCAGAGCAATTAGGCGCAGTAAATTCAATTAATCTCGACAAATCTCCACAGAGGCCCGAGCGATGCCACCATCCCCCGGTAATTAAAAATGGCCGAATTGGTTCGGCGTTCGAGGGGCGTGATGTCTGGATATAATTGAGGCACGTTTCTATTTATTCCGCCACACTAGCCAACAACATGTGGAGCCCGGAGAGGAGCCCACAGTCCCTCAGGGGAGATGCGACTGACGGAGGATTCCGATAATTGGCTCTTCTTTGTCACTTCAGACAGCGAGAAATTTTCATCATGGAGGAATCAGGTCCCAATTTTCCTCACCTCTCTATTCCTCAAACACCATAAACAAAGTTTTTAAAAATAGGAGATAAAATGCAAGTCAGCAGCTAGTTAATCACACATCCTCTCACCTCTGCACACAGCACTATTTCAAACCAACATGCTAGAGATGGCGACTGGGAAGGAAGAAAAAAAAAAGCAAAATAACTGTGACAGGTTAAATGAAGCGGTGAGCTGAGTGGTGAGGCATGCAAGCATTTCAGCTGTGACTCACCTGCTGCTCGCCAACATATGTCATGCTAACGCACAGACTTAGCAGCCGCAAACTAGCCATGCCCTATACATTTACTGTACTCCATCAGAAATACAACCTGTTGCAGAGAATGTAACCTACTATATATATATAAAAGGAGAGCAAATATGATAGAAAGTTAAGCCAGTGTTGGTTGTATTTCGCTCCTGTCTGAAAAACAACAACAACAAAATAATAATAATAATAATAATAACGAAACAAAATGCTGAAAGAACAAAGATGAAATAATTAAAATACTGCTGAAATACTGAAAAAAAAACAGGCTACTATATGAAAAATTTAAAAAAGAGAAGACAAAATGATAAAGTGCTGTGAAAACAATGAGCGAACAGAATAATGAATACAAAATGCTAAAACTAAATTCTGTTGATGAAATAAAACACTGAAGAGCAAACAATGAAATGCTGCCAAAATAACGCAAAACAAATAAAAAGGTCAAAAGAGAGACAAAATAATTGTCAAAACAACCAATAAATAATGTCAAAATATGAAACAAAATAACAAACACAAAGTTGTGACAACAACAACGATAGAAAATAAAAGACAAAATAATAAAACAACTGTTGAATCAACAATGAAATAGTCAAAATAATGAAACAAAAGAACAGATGAAATTCTGTCAACATTGACAAAACAACAGAACACTATTAAAATACAAAATAACAAAGAAAGACAGAGTTTTTGAGAGAGAGGGAGAGACTAGCCGCTGCCTCTGAAGTAAATCTGAGTCTCGCTAAGCACCCGAAAGAGGAAAGCGAGGAATAGTATTTGCACTGTGTGTTTTGATGTGTTTGTGTGGAAGCGGTTTGAGGATTACGGCCGCTGAGCAAAGGTGGTCAAAGAGTGTGGGCTGAAGAGTCTCGTTCATTTTGTATAAGTGTGTGTTTGTGAGAGAGAGAGAAAGAGTTGGAGAGCTTTAAAGATATACGCTCAACTCTTCTGGATGCCTCCCGAAACCTGCAAAAGAAAGAGAAAGAGACAGAAAAAAGGGGAAGTGATGGTGGAGAACGAATAAAAGCATGTCAACGGAAAAAGAAAAGAGATGAAGGCTAAAGAGCGTGTGTACGTGTGAGACAAAGAAAAGGAGAATTCAGCAGGTGAATCAAAAGAGAAACAAAGAACAAAAACACAAGTGTGTAAAAACAAAGGACTGGATGAGAAATACAAATGTCAGAAGACTGATTGCGAATGAGAAGAGCACACGAAGAAAGCAGAACGCAGAAAAAAGAGAAAGGAGGATTAGCAGGCAGAGCGGACTGGCGGGTTGTAGTCCATCCTCTTTATTTCCTGTGGGAAGAGCAGAGAAACTGACCCCAGGATTATAGATTAGAGTTAATAACCCCCTTCCCGCTCACAGTAAAACCCATTAACTTCCCCCCAACACCAAACTACCCTCCTAAAGCCCCACAGACCAACCCTCTGCTGAGTCACGGCCCCGTCTGGACCACCTGCACACATAAAGTCAGCGCTCATGATGGGGAGGAGGGGGGTACCGTCTGACAGGAGATTTTCACATGAGCCCGACTCCCGAACTCCCTCAAAATTCACACCCTGCCTCTCATTCGCGAGTGACACAGAAAGCCAAGCGTTGCCATGGGAATATTAGCATGTGTGCGACTTTGGGTCGTGCGGTCTGAAATAAATTTGAGGTTTGTGTTAACATTCCCATTGTGCAACGCACACACGTGGCTTGCCACCTCCCCGCGGCACAATTTTCATTTTGATTGTCTGTCTGAGGGGAGGTAAAGGTGTTTAATGCCAGATAAAGCACCCTCGGGGTCATTTTGGTACTGTGTGAGGCTGTGCACAAGTGTGTTTGTGTGCCTATGATCGCCAATAAAGGCTGAGTCTGCACAGCGCTGGGGATATTGAATGCTTATCTGCCCCGCGTTCGTGTGTTTGTTTGTGAACGGAGCACCTCCCCAATGTGAAAATCTCCCTCAGCTTCTGGAACGTCGCACTG